ATGGGTTTTTCTATGGGGGTGTTGGTGTATGAGGTTTAGAGTGGGTTTTTCTATGTGGTTACCTATGGTTCTTCTAATGGTTCTATTATATGGGTTTTTCCTATGTGTCTTTTGGTGAGGTTAGGGTTGAGGTATAGGTTGTTATGGTTTTGGGTCTTCAGGTGGCCTAGGGGGGTGGGCATGGTTAGAAAATGGAAATGGTCATTGCTAACTACTTCAACCTCTACCACAGACTCAGGACCCAGCCCAACAAACACATCCCCCACATGCCACCTGCTGCACGAGGAGGACAATCGGAATGACCAGGGCTTCGCCGCTTGGTGGCAGCTATGCCCATGACAAAAAAGGACGCAGATCCTTGTTGGCTCTGCGATATAACTGCCACATGTACTCGGAGCTTCATCCCGAGCTTTACACCAAAACCTTAAATTTAGAGCTTCGAGGGCTCAGTATCGATGGGCTCCTCCACTTGAAACCCTGGTTCTGAAGCCCCGAACTCCGAGACCAAAAGTCGCTTCTTGCCCAGATCTGGGGTCACCTCCACTCCAGCTTCCTCAATGCCTTCGCCGACACCATCGGCAACGTGGCACATCGCTTCCAGGCCGATCCTTTTCAGATGGGGCAAACTAGGTACTGCAAGAGTCTGCACGAGCTGACAACTGCAGTTCAGCCATATGCAAGAGACAGAACACGCATGAATGGTAGCAAAGTTATGCCAGGGTAGAACTCAAAACAGTGAAGAGCACGTAGCAGCTTAGCAGTCCGAGCCCCGCATACCCAAGAACCATTCCAGTTTGCCCATGAGTCAAAACCGTGCGCTACTGTGGAGAGAGCGCAACTGGCACACATGCACGTTGCTGTGGCAGGAACACGGGGTGCACCCCAAATATGCGCGGGACTGTGGCGGGGAAACGTTTCTTGGTGGCGGAAACATGAATTGCTGCCCTTAGGCCTTTGGGTATATGGTTACTACAGGCATTCATCTGTTGCATTGCCCGGCGGATCTACGCGGCAACAGCGTACTGTAGCCTGCGTAACCTCCTCGTGTCGGATGACCCGGGGATCAAAAGGCCGCTGCTTGTGATGCCCACAAAACCCGAAGTCTGTTCTATAGCACTCCAAGGTATCATTTGCGAGGTGTACATCAACTGCCAAGTCAAGGCTAAGAATATGCGTCCGCATGACGTTACAATCAGGAAGTCTGGGGTGGACTGAAAAAACCAGAAGCATTTTGTGCAGGCGGACCGGGTGCTTGCCTTTGGCTACTCCATGGGTGGCTTCGGAGCATACCAGGCGCCTGCCTGCTTTCAGTTTCCTTTCTTGTGTTTCCTTTAAACCGGAAAACATAGGAGATAATATTAGACATCTTGAGTGTTCTTCAACAGGAAATGTTGCTTTACGAGGACATAAACAGGGAAGTAGGATTACACACCAGATGAACAAGAGAAGATAGGAGAACCATTGAGAACGTTTGAAACCATAAGCTCATAAACATCTTAGGATCAAGAGTAAGAACTATGAAAAGCATAGACAACGCAGTACAAGCAGTATGTAATCTAGCGGAAAAGTGAAACACCATGTGTTTTCCTATTTTCTCGTGGCTTCAGGGGTAGATAGGCATTGGAGAAGAAAGGAGACCCAAAAGAAGGTACAAAGGTGACTAACATCGGCGACCTGGAGAAATGTCGGAGAGCAGTAGGAGCCTTCCGAACACCATGGAGGCCTAAAGCGAAAAACTTGGTCAATGAACATAATAATTAGAGACCCAAGGAAACACACGACAGGAGCACCACAACGAAGCCAGGAAGCACAGCCGAACACAGGAAAGCCATTGATTTCTGTTTCTATGACGCCTACAAAAGTAATATTTTCCTAGATGTCCTAACGCCTGCAGTTTTCCCTAGCTTGTTCTGTAGTCTGTAGACTACTGTGTCTTTGTAATTTTGTAAGCTTATGTGCAGCATCTCCCAGAATGAAGCCCCCACTACAGTAAGCATCCCCAAGAGCCTGCATGTTTGGGTTGAAAGTTGAGGGCTAAGGCCAGGCCAAGGGCTTCCACTCTTGTCGCTGCCGCTACTGCCGTGACCAGACGCCCTTGCATCCCCAGATGCCCCGAAAAGCCTTGGCCAGACTCAAAATGCCGCCAGGTCGCCAGCTGGTGTCCGGAGGCCACCTGCAGGGGTTGTGCTAGGAGTCTCTGGTAGGGATCTTGGGGTCGGTATAAAAATCAGGATAATTCAGGCAGTTTCTGGCACCCTGAGGTTCAAAGTAGCATAGGCCTACCGAGGCTTCTGACTTTTGCGACAGCCTTGAAAGGGGCTGATGTGCTGACTTCGTTTAGGCATTTGGGATCGTTATGTGTGCTTTTTTCTGAATGAAAATCCGCATGTTCCAATTCTGGGCAGCCAAGCCAGCTGAATACTTCTTTTTGCACTTGTAGGGTTTGAGGCCCGAAAGATTTTGCAAGCGCTTGTCTTGAAAAAGGGAACTATCAAGATCGTTACGTGCCCTAAGCCCGCAACCCTAAGCTTGCAGAACTCCGATAGATCTCTCAAGAAACCTGCCTTTCATTTGCGTGTCTGCGCAGGTCTTCGATGCAGTCGTGTCTCTGGCGGGTTACGGTCTCGGTACGGAGGACCCTCAACACGAGCGTTTCCGTGCCCCACAGCCCCAAAGCGGGCAGATTTTCCGTGATTTCGTGGAGCGCTATGGTACCCGCATGGCCAAAGTTCCCGTGGTACTGGCTGTGCACGCATGGTGTGACAGCCTCTCCAGCTATAATGACGACTGTGAGATCATCTGGGCCGTCAAGCAGCAAGCTCGCCGTGAGGCGGGGACAAGGGCAACTCAAAACCAAGCAGCAGACTGACCACTGTCGGCAGATGAAGCGAATAGCTGAAGCTTCCAAAATTCGAGGCTCTGCAAAACCTAGACCCACTTGAGCAGATGTAGTGCCAAGCTTGAGAATAGTGCAGTGACAGGCTTCATTTGTGGTTTGGGGGCTTCCATCTCAATCACAGCCCGGAAGTCAACAAGAGGAGAGCAGACGATGGCAGCAAAAGGCTAGCTAGAACGCTAGTGATCTGCATCCAAGACCGCTTTCTGCTTATCAAGGCCGGCTATGTAATGGATGCTCTACGATCCTTTAGCAGCTTATTGAACCTCGCTTCCAAAAAGCTTAGACGCATCCTACAGAACCTTATTCTGAGCACCTTGGCCACCCAAAGCCCCGAAAGCTCTCGAATCGTGTAGGCTCCTGGGCTGTTGGTTGGAAGTCCTCTTCGGCTTCAGCTATGTTTGCATCGATCAGAGTGTGTATGTCTTGCTGATATTGTTGGGGTTTAAGACCCTGAGGCGTTCAGCTTTGAGATGACCAGATACCTTCTCAGGTTCAGGAGTTACTCTCATACCCACAGCCCCAAACTCTATTCGGGAGACCTACGCCCGAACCCCCCAAACCTTACTTACATCCCACAAACCCCTAAACCCCACACGCTGAACCGACCGCTTTTCTCCCAAAGCAGGGCTTCACCCAGCACGTTGCCGACATGATCACCGTCCCAGAATGCCTCGCCAACACTGACCTTCCGTATTCCTCAAGCGGCCACGACTACTACTATGCCAGCTTGTTGAGACTCGGAGTGTCAGACTTCATTGGTTGAGGCTTCGGGTGGAGGGTCACGTGTCGGTTCGAGGATTCGGGTTCCAGAGCAAGTCCCACAACAAGTCCCGTGGATTCGAATCCTACATGTTACATGCTTAACACTAGACCCTTGCATACCCTTGCACTGTTTGCAACCCACGAATTCCTCTCCAACATGGGTTCCCAAACCTCAAACATCAACCGCTGCAGCCTAGACCCCGGAGACCTAAACTCAAAGGGTTTAGTGGGTAGCTGTTTGCTGATGGGACCCGAACGATCAGTACTGTTATTTGTCAGGACTCCAGAATGTGCTTGTAGTTTTGAAACTACCGAAACCCTTTCATGAGTTTTCTTTTGTCAGCCCTGACTCTTTGATCCCAAAACCCCAAAGTCTAAAGCCGAGGAGAAACACATCCGAACGACTGCTGTGGTCCAAGCTCCGGACGGCTCTGTGGGCCGCTCCAAGGCGACAGCTTCTTGGGCTTTAGTGATGTATGTTTCATCAGTGCTCAAAACGATGGCTACGAGTGCCACAACCTGTTCACAGTCAGCTTCAAACTCGTGGCCACTAACTGTTGACTTCCCAACGCTGGCTACCAACGGCTAACTACACAGCCAATAAGTTACCGGCGATAAGCCACTGATGGGGACCAGCTATTAGCTACTAACTGCTTTTTTGCCTGTGATTGTTGGTCTGGCAGTAGCCACAGTGGCGAAGCCAAGCGCCATTCTGCAACGGTTATACGGCGATACGTGTGTAAGCAGGCTTCGAAGTGTCACTTTAGCATGAGAGTCCAAGTCGGCATAGACCCTGTTTCTGAACCAACCACCATCTTCGTGATTGAAAGTCTCGCCTTCGGTGTCGAAGGACATGCTTATCACTTCAGCACCAGGCTAGTTGACAACGAAGAAAGGCTTGAATCCTGAACCCTAATGCTCTGCCGCAAACTTTATTCTTAACTCTCCGTAGACCTGTTACCTTCCAAATCCTCCAGTCCTTGAGCTCCACACTCCGAGTCTTTAGTCCTCAAGCTTGAAGCTTCAAGCCGCCTCCGTCGTTGTGAGACGCACCGAAAAATCGTGGGCATGCATAGGAAAGCAGCATGTTATGTGAAAACTCAACCTAGTACAAATCGAACTGCGCATTGCGCATCCGTGGAAAAGACTCTCATTGCTTCAAGACGAAAGCCCTGCACGCCTCATGTGGCAACCTGTACTCAGCTGAGGAATTGGGGGCGTGGGGCGAAGCGCCAGTGGCAAAGTTCACGGACGTCAGTTTCTGGTTTAGTGAACACGCAGTATAATGTGGGTTCATCAGCAGTGCAGCAGAGCACCGGACTTTTTCAGGTTTCTCCTGGAAAACGTTCGTAAATGGTCTAGGCCAGGCTCGACAGTTATCACTTTGGTCTGTCTTCTCTGCATTCATCTAAATTGACGCGCCCGCTCAGATTTGCTAGCCCGCTCAACAACTTGGGCAAGCCAGCTCTCTTATGTGAAGTTTGCGCAGTGAATGTTTCGTACAACGCACATGCTGGCTCGCTCCGCGCATGCTACCCTGCTAAAAAGCGCATTTTTGGAGAAACCTGCCAGGCTAAGTGCCGTGGGGAAATCGTACGAATGCAGGAAGGAACTCTGAAAGGTACTCATTCATGAAGACATGTTATTTTTTATTTGTGCACCTTGGTTGTTTCTTAGGTCTGTTTCGCATAGGTGTTGCACTCACCTTACAGTTTGTGCCCAAAAGCATGGAATCGCCTCATGGCGGATTCCAGATCGCAGGACGTCGTGGTGCCAACACAAGTGGGCCCGTCGGCGTTGGCTCTGAGAGTTTGGCCGTCGACTTCCAGGCTCTGAGCACTCCCTGTGTCACTGCCAGCGTGGCTGTCCACATGGCCATGCAAATAGGAAGCCAAAACAAAGGACATGTACAGGTCTCAAAACAGTGATCTCTCTCTATCTAGGAGCCCCCACACAACCGTCGGAAAGCATGGTTCATCCTGCTACGTGCTGGAACTGGTAGAGCTCGAAAGCACAAATGTCGCAGTTGTCTGCATGCCTGCATCTACAGGCAAGCATGAGCTGTTGCTCCGTGGCTTTGGAAATCTGCAGGCAGCGGCGAGCAAAAATTGAACCCGAGACCCTAAACCTAAATGCAGACGACATTGAGACTCAAGCTAAGATCCTAACCCCAGAAGAATTGAACCCTTAACCTGAATATCCTCGAGATCCGATGCAAAAGCCGAAGCACAGGCGGCCCTGCAACCCAAGCCTTCAGCACCATGCTCTGCTTGAAAGGGCCTTCTGAAGGGAGTCCGCCGCGGAATGTCGTGATGCCATATCGGTGGCGGAAAAAGTTCTGGGATTCCCGAGGGTGCGCAGCAAAGGCTTCGTGGCTTAAGGATCCTTAAGGACAGCGGACGAGCTTCTCCGTCTGTGCACCAGCAGGGCTGGTATGTAATTCTTCGAAGCCTCCTGGCAACGAGCGATAGGGACGTTCATGGTTAAGAGCTTTTAGTTGCACAAAGCATAGGCTGCGCCCTTCTGCAAGCCTGAAGCATCCTCAAAGACCCACACACCTGCCGTTTCTTCCTCCGTTTCCTCGCTCTCCCGCACCTGGTAAACCCTGTTTGAGCCGCTTTGACGTGCCAGTAATAGTCGTGTAGCCCAAAGCCCGAGCCCGAAGTCTACTCTAGGAAACTGAAGCCTGGCGACGTGCTGCTTGAGATTGCCGGCCGGCCATGCCTGAACTTCGTGCCCCCTGGGCCTTTCTTATGAGGTTTCAGAAATTTGACTGGCTGGTTCCTTTCAACGCTACGTGGGTGTATGGGTTGAGGAAAAGGCCTACATACATAGTTACGGTGTTCGAGATGGTTTGAAACGATGAGGCCCCTTCTTTTTGTATCTTAGATTTATGTTGGCTGGCCATCTGGTTTAGCATCTAGGGCCCATGCAGCATGCATTGTTTCATCCGAGAACTCTCAACTCTACCCCAATCTGGCAGGGCCATAGCCGAATACCTGCACCAGAAATCCTAAACCTTGAGACTGGACTCTTGCCACGGCCTCCTTTGAAAAGGACCTTGGAGGATCAACTCGATTCTGAAGTGGATAAGGACGGAAAAGCGGGGTGTGTTCGGCTTGCTGGCTGGGGCTTTGCCTTGGCATTGTGTCTTGAAGTTCAGGCTTTCGCTGAGAAGTTCCCTATTCAATTTCTCGTTGGTTTGGATACGTACTGTGCAGCATGGCGCGTCTCTGTATTGTTGGGTGTACAGATTGATGACTCGATGACGAATGCAATGTTTACTTGGAAGTGCAGGGCCATGTGTTCGACAGCCGTCGCATAATTGCAGAGATAGCATTTAGGCTTGGTAAGCAGCTTTTGGAAGCGCTGGCTTTTGGTGCTGGGAAGTTCCGCTCCAGAGTCAACATTTGTCGGGACGAGGTGAGTCCGAAGAGCGCTGAAAACCCCAAAGCAGGAAGAATGCATGCACGACTCTTGCCCCGGTCCTTTCTGAGAGCCTGCCTGCATGATCATCTGAGAGTGCTGGTGACACAGGGCCAAAGTTAGAGGTTGTGGGATCATCAGATCAACACGCGCGATCCTAGGGCTGCCATAAAGCCACATCATGTACACCGGATGCCTCATACCCAAAATCCCTAATTGCAGGAAGTGCTGATCAAGATCTCTCGTGCTGGGGACGTGCTCAAGATCGGCCTCAGGGTTGTAGATTTTCACAAGTTGCCGCTCGACGAGCCGTCTATGATCTGGAAGTTTCAACAATTACGGATCCCGAAAGGGGAGTCCTGATATTGCTCAGCGGTTTTCTCGGTGTTCCTGACTGGAGTAGTCCTCTCCTCGAAACCCCAAACCCTGAACCTTCGATGAATGTTGAAACCTCAATGCCGAGTGAAAGGCCTCTTGAAGGTGCAGGCCCGTGTAGACTCCATAGAGTCTACGGCGACGCTTCTCAGAGGGCTTGGGGTGAAGGCTCGAGTTCGTCTTCTTTCAATATGTCTCTTTTTCGCATAGGGTGATCAAAACACTGTTGCTTGAGCCAAGGATATCACACGACTTCGTGGAATGCGGGGGTGGTGCCGTGGCATTTTCAAGAAGACACAGAGTGACCCCGTTATCCCCAGACACTTACCCCCAGGCTGCGGCTTCATTGGGGCCTGGGTTCGAGGATTGCTCGCCTCTTTCCATCTCGGGGCTGTGCTTTGCTGTTAGGAACCGGGGGACGCAACCTCGAGGCCCAGGAAATCTCGAAGGCCACAGTCTGTAGGCTCACACTGTACAACACAAACCAGGTGTGCTCCTTCAGTTTATCGTGTAGTTAGTTCCTTACGATTTAGGGCATTGTTTTGCCGTGGGCATCTGCTGCAGATGCCAGGACACCGGAACCCTCAGAAACTCGGAGGAGCCTTCTGTCAGAATCGCACCAGACTCTAGTGACTGTAAATCAGCTGAGGCGTCTTCCACGTCTTGTCCTATCACACCTGCAAGACCTACAACATTCCAATCTCGGACCGCGGCATCTATGTCGCCCAGAGCGGCTTCAGCAGCCTAGCTGCACAGCATCATCCGACTGTGGATCTCAGCAGTATTAGTCTGCCCGGCACACGAATATCAGTAGCATTACTTCTAAACTGTTTCCCCTCACCTATACTACCCTTAAGTCCTATACCTAGAACTCCAACCCTGTAAGTCTTCAACACTAAGCCCTCGAATTCGTTCTCGTGCGCCAACTTCTTCAACACCCCTTTTGCTTCAGCCAGCTGCATCAAAGGGGGCCTGCGTTTCTTTGCAAAAGAAGAAAAAGCATGCCGGAAGGCACAGACCTCCATCATGGGGTGTCCTCCTTGGTTTTGCTTCCCTGTCCTATACCCCAAATCAGCAACACCGTGGCTGCTGGAGAATCCTCAACCTTGAGCTTTGCGGAGTGTCTAAAGGGCGTCAGCTTTGAAGAAGTTGCGACTCTTGTGAGATCGAAATTCGGGCCGTAAGCGCCTGACCCGAAACCCGGGACACCGAACACTACACGTCCAGAAACCCAAGGGTGAACCCTAGTCCCAAGCCAAACAACCCCACAACACTGCGAGGGCTTTGGCCTCCAGATTCAACCCCCATGCTCTTCCACCTCAAAATCGCTTTACACCGTTGAATTCCAGAAAGATGCTTAATATGATTTAGGATATTCCGTAAAAGGCTTTGGCCTCCAAATTCCGGTCTCGGCTGTGATCACCTCTGTGGCCGGGAAGCTCTTTGGCTGCAGCTTCGTTTTTGGGAGTTCCTCGGTCTTTATACAGGATGGTTTGAGGGCCTTGAAGGGTGTAAGGCTGGGGTCGTTGAAACTTCAGGTTTTGGAGCCACGGAGACATGGTCTTCAACAAAAGTCGCGGCCACCGTAAACCTCCAAACCGAAGACTGGCAACTTAGCAGCAGCCCAAAACCCACCCCCTACGAAGCCCGGAGCTCTTCGACCACGAGATCATAGGTCACCGCATCTCTCGTGGGACGACGGTATAAGAAAGCCGTCTTGAAGTCTTACGTGCTCTTGTGGAGCCCCATACCGCCATGTTAAGCTCCACAGAAGTTTTGCTCGAAGCTTCGGAACCCTGGTCAAGCCCGAATCTAGCACAGAGCATCAACACATTGAAGCTTGAAGCTCAGAAGACGATCATACAGCGTTCTTTAAGATCCCCGAACAAGTGTCCGTCGGGGTCCTCCAAGAACCGCTGCAGCCTTACAAAGCCTGATTTGGTTGTCGGAAAATTCCGGTTCTTTCCACGGAGTTCATGGAAACTGGAGTTGACTGGAAGAGGGGCCAACAGCAAGAGGTTGACTTCGGTGCGTAGAAGCCACTTACTCGGACACGGACCCCCAAGAGTACGAAGCAAAAGCCCCGTTCCACCGGTGAGGAGGGTGACCAGCCTCAAAGCTTTCGAGACTGCCTTGGCCGGCATCCCGAACAAGGACTCTCGAAGCCGTTTCGATCACGATTGCGGCTCTGCGGGTTGAGGGGTACAGGTTTGGGTCAGGCATTAGGCTGCGGGTTAGAGGTCCCTCGACCCCCGACCGTTAAAATCTTGTTACACCCTGAACCGCGGACCTTCAGGAGATGTTTGAAGTTCGCTGGTTCAACCCGTCCGCCAACGAGCACCGGCAGAAATGCTCCATGATCCGCCGGAAACTTAGTGGACGGCTCCAGAGTATCCTGGGTCATAGGCATGGAGCTTTCGGAGGGGTTAGCGATTTCGTGCTTGGAGTTCGCAACCTCCAAAAAGTCAAAATTAGGCATGCCACGTGCACCGCTGAATCCCGAACGATGCACGCTCACCGTCCTCACCACCACCCAGACAAGCAAGACGAAAACCGCGAGGCATGGAGCGAACGCTTTGGCCAGCGAGGGTGTGGGACTTCTGCCCGAAGCGCCCCAACACCTGGCAGAGGAGGCCTTCTCGCTGAGAAATTATGGTGGCTAGGGTTTCGGGGGCTTTGGTGCTTTACGGTTTTGGGTACTTGGATTTGAGGCTCTGCTGGTTTTAACTAGTTGGGTGGGTAAGGTAGGGAGGGGACGGTAGGGGTAGGGTAGGGCGCAGGTAGAGCAAAACGCACATGAATACTAAATCAAGCTTGAAAATCCTGAAGTCCCAAGCCCGTAAGCCCTACAGCAGCCCAAAAGCCACAAAGCCCCAAAACACCAGTTAAGAAGCATCCGGAAACCCTGAGCCTTGAATGCTCTGTCAGCATTACCAGCAGGTCGTGGGACGGCGAGGTGGCAGACGACAAGAGGGGGCCACTCAGCGAGCCTGTCAGCCCTCAGTTGAACCCAAGCCCCTTTTCCGCCCCTTTACTCCCAAAACAAGGCTTGGCACCACGCCCAAGAGCCCAAGAGTCTCTTAACCGCAGCCCTCCAAAAAGCAAACAAGCCCGGACTCCCGGCCACCGTGCTAGCAAATCAGATAGAGCACGCCGTAGGCTAGGTATGCTATGTTGCGCGATTTCGAGTTCCTCATAAAGCTAAGTGGTTGAAGACGATGCGCTTTCAACAACGCGCATCCAAAGCGGGCCCTGATGTTGAACACTCTCATAGGCCGATCAAGATAGATGTGTACACCTTCCTGCCACCCAGGGCAGCTGCGGCCACCACCGAGCCCGTAGAGTGCCTTGGGAAAGTGCATTCCGTGTTTCTGGTCTTGCTTTGATGCTCTATGTGAGTGAGTGGTATTTGTGTTCAGGCTTTCTTGTTTGTGGAGGCTAGCCGTTTCCCTGTATGGGTACGACTGTGTTAAGGCTTTCTTTTCTGCTTTCGACCGCTTGGTCGTAGCAGGCGCCAAAAGAAATATTTGGAGGCGATGAGCACTCGATGGTAGCACAATCCGAAACCTGTTGGCATCTGCGGCTAACTGCCTTGCTCTCCGGGCCTCTCCTCAGAGATGAGGCAGACCAGCAACGTCCCCAACCGTTCCACCAGTACTGCAACAGTGCAGTAATTTCAATTAGGGAGGGTGCGTGTATGCAAACAGATCAGATCAGTCAGATGCTTGTAGAAATAACAGCGCCTAGCACTTGCAATCCCATCTGCTGCCAAATAACTCACAACATATATGCTTCTACCCATCAAGTTGCTTGTAGTACCAAGAACTCATCATGTTGCTTCCTGCAATAGTTCCAGCAGCGGCAGCAACAATTAGTGGTAGTAATACGAAATATGGCTAACATTTCCACCGTAGCCTACAAGAACACTGCTGCTGCTCTAGTCCCATTAGTTGTTTCCTGAACCCTCGTTCGTCCAAAATCCGCAAGCCACAAACCAAAACCCCACACGCCGGATTTCAAATCTGGTAAACCTGGCTGACACCATAAAGCATCACGAGCTGCAGGTGCAGCCCCGTCTCCGATGCCCGCAGCCGGGCTTCAGAAGCTCGGCTTCTTGTGCAGTGAGTCCGATGTGCAGGTTGCAGCGTGCGTCTGCCTGAGACCCTTAGCCAACACGAGCGTATGAAAGGCCAGGAACCGTAAACTCTGCGCATTGAAGTCCAATAAGCTTCAAGCTTACTTACAAACGTCAGCACCGGCAGCAGCTGTCCCAATGTGCTGGAGGCAGAACAAGACGCCGACGTGGGCCCAGCAGCCCTAAGTTGGGACCCCAGCGCTTCGCGGCTTCTGCGTGTGACGGTTCGGGCTGCTGCTGTTGGGTGTTCAGGAGTTTGGGGTGCGGGGTTTTGCTGGGTCATATATGTTTTTGAGTGTTTTGTTTCCGGTGTTCCGGGTTTAGATGTAGGCTTGGATTAGAGCAATGCTTCGAACACAACAGGCGCAAGGAGCAATTGAAATAGACCGGATAATAGCAGTTGTGGAAACGCATGATATTCGACAGGTATAGATACTCTGATTCTTGTTGCGTCATTGCTGTCCAGGCGGTCAAGAGGACTCGTTTGGCTACCCTGAAAATTCTGACGCCGCCTGGCAGATGCAGGGTTTCGGCGAGCACAGGATGTAGCATACATTCGGATGTTGAAAGTCTAAACTAAGAGATCTAATGTTTTTTTTCCAGGGTGTTTTTGGGGTTTGAGGTCTCATGTGGAGGTCTGGACAATCAGTATTTATATCTCCCATCTCGCTACAGGCTTAAAAGTCCATTCGCGAAACTTCACGCACACAGGCCCCATGCCCTCAACCCCAGACCCTGGATGGCAAGTCGAGATCTGAACCTCTACAGCTACATGCGAAAAGAACTTTTCCCAAACTAGCCTTTCCATTTCCCCACTTCTCGTCGCAAATGGGTTCGTGCTCTCCAATTAAGACCGGATGGGTTGAGAAGACAAGCAGCAGAAGACGAAGCTGACGCCGGGAAGCAGGCAGAATTGCATTGGACAGCCATGGCTGGGACAAACACCCTTGAAATCAAGCCAATAAACCCTCACCCCTGTACCCCAAACCCTCAACCTGTGCCACGGCGGATTTGAGGTCGTCATGTTGGACGTCTCCCAAGGTGAGAGATGCTTCAGATGCCTTTCGTAAAATGTTGGGACCAGCCGAAACCAAGGGCCGCGGAGTGAAGTCTGTGAGGCACCCCCAGAGTTTGAATCCAAACCCCTCAATCACATAATGAGCCTTCACGGCAACTAACACCCAGCCTCATTGTAGAGGCGCTGGCCAAAGCTAAACTCAAACCCTTCCCCCGAAAAGCCCAAAGCTTCTGTGATGGCAGGAAACTCTTCCGGGCAGACTGAGGGCGCAGAGTTTGGGTTTTAGGACAGGTTCTAGAGTTAGGCAAAAGCCTTGAGGACTGAAGCCAAACCCTTGGATGTCTAAGGCTGCCATCTCTATGGTGCAGCCGATGTTGTGCACCATCGTGGCTTGGGCGCTTTGTTTTCTGTGGGTCTGGAGGTTTGGTGTGTAAAAACCCGGCGTCGGTATAACTAGCAAAACACCCCGTGTCAGTCCCAATATGGCCTTCTGTGAGTATAATATACTTTAAATACCCCAGTACCCTGCATTAACGTCATAGGTCGCTCAGGGATTGTTTTGCAAATTAGAGGCTGTCTGGTGGGGACTACGTTTTGACGGCTATCAGGGTTTTAAGATATGTAAGATAAAATGGTCTGCCGATGCCCTGATTCCTAGACCTAGACCTTGATCCGAGACCGTCGTTTGTGTATTCTGCATGGTGTGTTTGCCCGACAGGGCGGGGTACGACGCTGCACCCGCTCGAGTGCTAGGGAAAAGGGTGCAGGCATCGCAAGGTGATCCGACATGGCTGTACGAGACTAGAATCAGAAGCCTGCATAGTAAAAGATATAGGCAACTCATCAGAGCCCCGCGATCGAAGACTTCGACACCAAGCAGCCGCCAGAACAACCAGCCCTACTTGCACATACTCCAAAGCCGGAGTCTTCCTTGTAAGCACCAAAGCACCATGCTATACACCAAAATTCCGAAACCTAAACAGTAAACCAAACCCACTCCGCCCACAAGGTGACACAAGTCTCACACGAGTACGCAACGGACTTCCTGCAGAGCAAAGAGGCCACACCTCTTGGAGGGATCGGAGTTTCAGGCGTAGAGGCTTCAAGGCGAGAGGGCATTTTGGTGCATAATTTCTACAGAGCGCGGCTGAATTCGCAAGTGGGTGGGGGGGCGTCTGTCTGATTCCGAGGCCATGAGGGTTATGATTAATTGAAAGAGTATGTACAGCACATTTTCCAGAATCTGCAACTCTCCTGTAAAATAAATATTTCTCGACCTGACCCTTACCAGCCTTAAACCTGCAACCCCAAATCCCTGGGCCAGGAGAACAAGTCGACCGTCATCCGGCGCTGCGGTGTGGGGTTGGTGATTGACTCCACAGCTGGTTTGGTGCTGACGGACCGCTACACCGTGCCTCCTTACTCTTGTCGTTGGGATGTAGTCTTCAAGCTTGACAAGATTTGAGGTTCAGAGTAGTTGTTGGTGGCAGTACTGTAGTGGTAGCAGAAGCAGTAGCAGTAGCAGTAGTAGTCGTCGTCGTAGTAGTAGTAGTAGTAGTAGCACTCGCACCAGCACTAGCACTTGCGGTAGCAGTAGGAGTAGGAGTAGGAGTGGGAGTAGTAGTAGTAGTAGTAGTAGTAGTAGTAGTACTAGTACTAGTACTAGTAGTAGCAGGAGTAGTAGTAG